AAAGATATCTTGGGAATGTTGAATAATATTCACAGATGCTGGGATTGAAACTTCGGTTGTTCTCTTTGCCCTCACCTTGTTTGATACACATGCTTGCTTGTGATATGCAGCTTCTGTGTTGCAAAAATGAAAGTGTGTGCTGGAGTACATTAAAATGAACCGACAATTTAAATGGAGATACAATGTCTTCTGAATTCATCAACCTCAAACCATATATGTTTTGTGGCAAATCTCTTTTCTTAGTTATGGAAAGCTCAGCTGTGACACAGCCCACATGGCCCATGTGCTCTCTTGGTGGAAACGGCCAGCACACCCTCTCTCGGTTACCTTGAGAAATAAATATTCGCAGGCAGGCTGGGATTGCCACCCTATATGCTTAATAACTGCCCACTTCTGTGCTTGGGAAATATATATCAGAACCACCAGAGGGCAGCTTGTCCAGTGAAACGAGGGGTAAAAGTGCTGTTCTTTAGACGTAGGATGATGAGGGTAAATTTTCAAAATGTTTCTTGCATAAGCAAACTCTTTTACACTCCTAGCCAGCTGATGTTTTTGGAAATTGAAAGTGTGTGTGTGTTTTTTTAAGATCCTCACTCAAGGGTGTGTTTTTATTGATTTTTAGAAAAAGAGAGAGAAACATTGATCACTTACCTCCCATATGCACCCCGGCCAGAGATTGAACCTGCCACCTAGGTATGTGCCCTGACTGGGAATTGAACCCACAACCTTTTGGTGTGAGGGATGACGTTCCAACCAACTGAGCCACCTGGCCAGGGTGGAAATTGAAAGTTGTAAGACTAGCTCTTTCATGCAAATCTGTTTTTCCCTTCTCTTTGGAATATACTAGTAAATATCAACTTTTCTGTGAATTCCCTTCCCATCTTCCATCTTTATTCAATCTTGGTTGAAGTTTAATTTATGTACAATAAAATTTACACATTTGAAGTGATATTTGGAACATACATAGCCTTGGAATCACTGCCCCAATCAAGACAGAAATTTCCATCACTCTAGAAAGTTCTCTTGTGCCCCCTTGCATTCTCCCCTAGCAGGTCCCATGGCTCCTTGAATCTCTGAAAACATTTTACCTGAGACGAGGCATTTTATAAATTTAACATCATGATCATGCACAAACATTAGGGCCCTTTCTAAGAGGCTGTGGACGAACTCTCGAGATCAAGGAAATAGAGGCTGCTCCCTCCCAGACAATTACTGAAGAAGTTTTTAGTCTGTGGTTGGGCTGTTGGTTTAATCTGGCTCATGTTCACTGAGAGGGAGGACTGTTAATTGCAGTCATTAATTATGCATTTGTTCTTTAAAGTTTATTTCTGCCTTAATAGTGGCTAGCACTTGTCGCACTTAAGTACTTATTTGTATTAATGAACTCCAGGAATCCTTCTCAGGGGAGTGTCATTATTATCATATTCATAGATAAGAAAGCTGAGGTACAGTCACATATGGCCTTGATGGATAAAAAGAGTGAGTAAGGTTAGTTTCCTGATGCAAAATGTAAGATAAATGAAATTAAGAGCTTCTTAAGAAATGCATGTTCTCATTGACCGAAGTACCCAGTTTAAAAAACTAGGGCTTCTCTTTACGCACATAATGTCCTTGGGCAATGTCACCCAGGGCCACGGTTGAACACCGTGACGATTCCAGTTCTGCATCCCTGACCTTGACCAACAAGCATCCCTCATCTGTCTCCCTAGTTCCTGCCTTCATCTTCTGATGGATTGCCCTGCCTTTGGCCCTTTTTGAGTTGGGTCAGAGTGATCTTTCTAACATGGAATTTTGGCAATGTCACCTTCCTGATTAAAATTCTCCCGTGGTTCACTGTGCGCTAAAATGTGAGCTCCTGGTTCTTTGCCTTCTTCGGTGGCATGCCTTGCAGCTCTCCAAAGCTCACCCTCAGTCCAACTAGTTGTCATTGTCCAAAGATGCCATGCCCTCTCATGTCCCTGGACCCATTAACTGGGTGTTCCTTCTGTCTAGAAAGTGCCCTCTCCTTATCGGTCAACCCTGGTTTGCCAGACAAGGTGCACCTCATCCTTCAGGAGTTGGCTCACATCTTCTTCGATTAACCTTGACTGACTTGGAATCATTTTCTCCCCACTTTCCATTGCTTCTTGTGTATTAAGCTGGGGTCACATTGTCTTATAATGTTCTTGTTGCATCTCTGTGCCCTGCTAATCTGTACCCTCCTAGAGGGTAACAACTGTGTCTTTTTTTATTTTTAATATATTTTATTGATTTTTTACAGAGAGGAAGGGAGAGAGATAGAGAGTTAGAAACATCGATGAGAGAGAAACATCGATCAGCTGCCTTCTGCACATCCTCCACTGGGGAAGTGCCCGCAACCCAGGTACATGCCCCTGACCGGAATCGAACCTGGGACCTTTCAGTCCGCAGGCCGACGCTCTATCCACTGAGCCAAACCGGTTTAGGCAACTGTGTCTTTTTTCAACTTGGTATTTCTATCCTGGCTCAATACCTGGACTGCCTATCCAGACCATTACACACCACGAAGGCAGAGAAGACCCCTGTTTTATTCAGCACTGCTATGCCCAGTGTCTGGCCTAAGGTCTGGCCTATAGTAGGTGTTGAATTCTTATTTATTGAAAGCACGAATAGTGGGTGTCTTCATTTTATTTTCGTTGTTTGTTTTTTTCTTTCTTTCTTTTTTTTTCTTCAGCAAGCAATAAGTTATTGACTGCAGCAAAAACATACTTAGGACAGTGAAACAAGGACCATTTCCCCCCTGGTTGTAAGTCTCATGGGGTCCCTTAGAGATTAGGGGATACGTGCCTGTGGGGGAAAGGAATGGCACAGGTGTGCTCCCTGGAGGGAGAATGTCAATAATGGGTGTCTTTAAACATCAATTGTTGTTAAATATCAGACCACAGTGGTTTATCCCAGGGATTGTAACTGAAGGGTCACCAGCATAATTGGTCCATGAATATATTTTCTATGGCCTCACAGTATTTTAAAGTTTTAAAATTTGATGACTGTAGATAGAACATATCCTCTTCTGTTTACACCACTTCATTCTCTTGCTCTTTGTCTGTTTCACTCATTTGTTGCCTGCTTGGTCCTGGGCCATACGGTTGAGAGGTGCAGGGAGTCGGGCAGTGTACTCGTTTGTTATAACTAAATACCACACATTGGGTGGCCTAAACAAGGGAAATTTATTTTCTCACAGTTCTAGAATTCTGCAGGCTCAAAGTCCAAGATCAGGGTGTCGGTGGGTTTAGTTTCTCCTGTGTTCTCTTGCTCTGGCTTACAGATGGCCACCTTCTCACTGGGTCCTCGCATGGTTGTCCCTTAGTCTGTGTGTGAATGTGTCCTAATCTCCTGTTATAAGAACATCAATCATATTGGATTAGGGTCCATCTATAAGACCTCTTGTCAGTAGTTAATTACCTCTTTAAAGGCTCTGTATCTACATATAGCCACATTCTGACATACAGGGGCCAGGGCTTCAACATACGAATTTGGGGAACACTATTAATCTCATTAGAGGCAAGAACACGAACTCTCAAGTACTGTGGCCTCTGCCTTGTGTCTGATGCATGTTTTATGTAACACATTAATAAAGAGGAACTCAGGAACCATCAGAGAGAACAGTTTGACCAAGGCAGAATCTGGATAGACATAACTTGCACCTGCCCAACACCTGGTCTACACTCTGATCACCTTGATCTTGGGACCATGTTCATGTTTCCTAAACAACTGACATTTAGTTAATATGCCAGGTAGAATTTAGGTGCTTTTCAGTTTGGAAATATATATCCTTTCACTCTAGAAACTGACATGCAGGCTGCAAACTTTCTTTGTCCAGGGTTCAGTGGACAGCAGAGGTAAAAGTCAGATAATGGCATGGCACCGCCTCCATTTGCAATAAGCAAACAGCTAGGTCCTTTATTACCCTTGAAACCGGCATTCGTAACACAGGTTGGACTCAGAGAAGCAAGGCAATCGCCAAGTTTCTGTGGGTCAAAGTTCCTTCAACCACTGTATGTTAATCAAAAGCTCAACCTTAGTTAATTAGGCCATCGAGTTGGGGAGAACTTTGGAACAAATGATTGCTGAGTTGGACCACAGGTGTTAGCAGAATTCAGTATTTTATTTCCCAGAGGTAGGTTTTGGACTCATGGTCTTTCTTGGAGAAGGCAGGAGTGAGATTCTTGTGGAATTTTACTCATTCTTCGTGGGGAAGTAGCATAAGAAAATCTTCTGTACAGAGCCTAGCTAATCAAGTGTATTTACTTAAAGATGAGCTGAATAGTTATAGAATATTAATTATATATGGGCAAAAAAGCCAGATATACAGGGCTGCCAAAAATAAAGGAACGTTTAAAATACTAACAGCTCATAATGCTTTAAACAATTTTGAGTGGTGATTTAAGATCACAATTTAATGTGTCTGCAGAAAGAAATGGAAATGAATATAATATTCATAGCTGCCCTCCATGAATGTTTTCTTTCACGTGGGGCCCCAAGGGTTTCGTATCTGTCATTTTATTTATTGTCACAATGTCCTTAACAGGTGGGTTTCATTAGGCCCAAATTAGATGAGTTAAAGGAGGCTCAGAGAGGTTGAGTAAAATGCCCAAGATCACCCAGGTGGCAAGTAGTAGAGCTGAGTTTTGAGCGCCTGGGAAAACTTGCGACCTTCTCTTCCCTATGACCACCTCCTGATACCTTTTCCTCTTCTCTCCTTGTAAGATTTCTTTCTTGAATGCCCTTTAGCTAATAGGAACCTGAATGGCCTTGCACAGTTGACCTATTTTCTCCACGTATGGGAGCCAGCGGAAATTTACTACACTGTCCGGTTATGTAGTTTTCCCTGTGATCCATGCACACACTGAGATGTGTGATAATAATTTAGCGCCGCATTTCTTCATCTAACCCCTCCGCCTCCATCCCTTTTAGCGGTCACTGATGGCATACCCCTCATTAGCGGTCTCTGGTTCAGTGGTGTTTTCTTTTTCATTTCACAGTTCACGTAACAGAGGCCTTGGAAGGACACTTTGCATCAGGACACCCCGCAGAGATCAGCCATTCCTGGGCTCACCGAGAGGTTTGGTAAGCTGGCGGCATCTTCACCTCGGCTCAAATGAACATAATCCAGGGGTGGAGAAAAGTACTGAATATTGCATAGTGACATTCACAGGCTAATCTCCACTTTTTTTTTTTTAACCAACACCTATGGTTCTGCTTCTGGGTGTTTGCTTAAATTACTAGGCCACAGTGCCCTGTATATTTATAGGCATGAATGTCTCCAGGAGATTCCATAGTCACAAAGAATGACAGAAGCTATATTTGAATGACTTTGCTTAAACGCTTTTAATAACGAGCTTTTCCTGTAGTGTTTACTGCATTTCATCAACTCAAAAATGCATTTCCATTCCACAATTTAACATATCTGAAATTGATGTGTATCTTCTGGAACTTAGACATGGTGAAACATAGCATTTCTCTGATAATCCCCAATGACCAATGTCAAGTGTTCTCTACCTCCTGTTTTTCACAGAGTTCCAATGCTTTTTCTTTTAAAGATAGGAAATGAATATTTTTCTGTTAAAGAGTGAGTCAATAAAATTTTTGTACTCACCAAAGAAAGAATTTAGAATTCTCATACTGAGAGAAAAACCAATATTTTTCAGTGACTTCAGATGACGATTCTGAGATTAGTGGCCTTGGGCCCTCATGAGCAGTGGTGATGGCACTCAGAACAGCTCAGAATCAGACACTCTTATACAAAGCCAGGTCCCCACATCACAGGACTTGCAACTAAAATACTGTGCTGTGCCTTCAGAATGATTTGTCAGCACCCGTTTGTCTGTGAATGAGTTCAAGTTGGCATTCATATAGAATGGGCAGGATTTCCCCAAGCTACTTGTACCTGGTTTTTATGGACTTGAAGATTTGCAGAACCTCCCTTCTGTAGAGCCTCATGGAGGACAGAACACAAATGCTGAAATCAGTAGATGTACAGGTAAATCCGTTAACAAAGATTTTCTGCTATGTGCCACGCTCTTGCTAGGCACTGGGTAGTTAAGAGATGAAGACAGAAAGGATTGGATTTCTGTCCCCAGGAAGCTGGTCTAGTACTCAAGGCAGACATTAAATAATCTATACATATAAAAAAAAGTCTAAGTGATTGTTACAACCGAATGACCAGAACGACCAGGTGACCAGTTGCTATGACGCACTGACCACCAGGAGGCAGATGCTCAACACAGGAGCTGCCCCCTGGTGGTCAGTGCACTCCCACAGCCAACCTCCCATGGCTGGCCAACCGCCTGAGGCCCTTCCCCCTGGCCGGCCGGCTCCCTGATAGGCCTTGATCACCAGCCAGGCCAAGGGACCCCACCTGTGCATGAATTCGTGCACCGGACCTCTAGTAGAAGAATAATGTGTGGATTGAAGAAGTGTAAGGAGTTAAGGAAGTTTGAAATCAGAGGCCTTAACCTAATCATCAGTGGGAGGGGCAGTCACCAGGGAAAGTTTTCTGGAATTTAAGTGGTATTTTAACAGACTCAGAAGGAGAAGGAATGGTTTGCTAGGCAGAGGGAGATTGGGGGCAGATGGTAGTGACTGCACCAAGTGAGAAACAGCTTTTCCTGAGGGTCTCATAACAAGCGAGCGAGTGTCAGGTTCAAGATTTAACTATGAACCTAATGAGGAAAGGGATTCAGATAAACAGATGTCTGTTATAAGGACGTGGTCAAATTTCAGGAAGAATCTTTAAAACCACTTAGAGATTTATTTCAAACTGGCGATCAGATTTTTTTGTTTTTTGTGGTTCAGACATAAATTCTTTCTTCTCTATCAGCGTTATTTCCCCGAGCTGGATCTCAAGTCCTGTTTTCCTGCCAGTCCTTTGAATCCTCTCCAAATCTGTGTCTGAATTTCCCTCACTTCCCTCCAACAGGGACGCGATCAGCTTCCAGTGAGAGATTGTTTTCATCAACAAATGTGTTGTTTTTTTCTTTTTCTCTACTTTCTTGATGGTATCAGGAAGGGGTCATCATTGGCATGATTCCCCCCACCCAAAGGCCAGATTCTTAAAAATAGAAAATAGATGGTTTAAATAGAACAGAGACTAGCTACTTGAACCTGCTTCCGCTTTTGGATCATTATGAGAGTCTCAAGTTTTAAATCTTAGTGCTCGATGTTGACATTTTCTATCAAGAGTACTGCTGAGCTGAGACTCTTTGACCAGTAACTAAACTGACAGGTTCAGAAATTCATGCATGTGCATGCATGCATGCACACACACACATATGGTACCCCAGTTCCAGTGGATTGGCCATCTCAAGATTTCTGGTTTCTTAATCATAAGTGAATATGATGTGGTCATTTTTTGAATTGGAGCTGGCCAGAACTAGCTAGATTTTATTTATTTATTTATTTTAAAAAAGATCTATCTATTTAACAGGCCTAAAAATTTGGGATGGGGAGTTTATTTACCTCAGTCTGAGATAAGGTTGGTCTGTTTTCCCCATACAAAAGGAAAGAGGATATCACTGGCTATGATTGATATGAAGAAATTTGAAGTTTTAGTATTAACTTTTGGTGACCTGTTGGGTCAGTCCTCTTAAAAGTTAATGTCTAGATCATTACTTGATTTTTCTCAAGCCACGGGAATTCTGTGTTCCTCCATCAAGATATGGGCATTGGAGGTCAGATGGTGGAGATTCCTGGGAAAGGGGAAGAGAAAAAAATCATGGAGTTCCTGATGGAAACTTTATTTTTTAAAAATATATTTTATTGATTTTTTACAGAGAGGAGGGGAGAGGAATAGAGAGTTAGAAACATTGATGAGAGAGAACCACCGATCAGCTGCCTCTTGCACACCCCCTACTGGGGATGTGCCCGCAACGAAGGTACATGCCCTTGACTGGAATCGAACCTGGGACCCTCCAGTCCACAGACCGACGCTCTATCCACTGAGCCAAACCAGTTAGGGCCCTGATGGAAACTTTAAATGAAATAGCTAAACGTTTTGAATGCTGACCCTTTCCTACTCAGCATAGCCTAGATTTCTATTTCAAGGCAGTTAATAAATTAAAAAGTGGGCATTGTTTAATCTTCAAATTGAAAATACAAGTTGATTTTGAAAAGGAGGAAAGGTAGGCTGCTTAAGACATTGTTTTCTATGGTGAATGGCTCTTCATGCTTCTGAATGGTAGCTGTCATTTAGTGGTCACAGAGCCTCTTAGAAACAGATTTCCTCCAAATCCCTAAAATTTATCAGAAGCTAGACATTTTAGAAAATGACTTTCCCATCATTTTTCCCCCCAAGAAGGCAGATTGTAGCTCAAAGAGGACTTAAGGTAAGCTTTGTACACCTTCTGTAGTCCGTATGAAGGAAACTTACTCAAGAACAAATACACACAAAGGTCAAGCAAATGAGTTGAAACAGATTCTCTTTTGTTTAGTCAGCCACTAATAAAGGCCTGTCACAAAATGACACCAGGATGTTGAAGACAATCCCTAAAAGCAGGCTCTAAATGTGATTTTTCTGCCTTTTCACCTGAACATAGAAGAGATGTTTTTCCTTCACATGTTACTTTTTACTATTTACTTGGTTCCATGTAACTTATTACTACAGAGAAGGGGAATGAAAGCCTGTAGTTTAATTTAATAAACCTACCAAGGACCCCCACATGAAAAGACAGGAAAGATTCCGGGCAGGTGTATAAAGATACAAAGATGATTCAGACATGATCTTTGCCCCAGAAGAGTGTTAGAGGAAATATTAGTAATAAAACAGGAGTTAGAACAAGCAACATCATAACTCAAATATTTATTGGCACGTTTGAAAATGCAGTGGAAGTTAATGGATCCTCTTTTCTCATCTGTATCCACATTTACCAGAGAGTAAACTCATCACTCTGTTGTCTGGACATGTTACTTTTTTTCTGATCTCTGATTCAGTTGAACAAAAGTAACCCTGAAGTCCTTTGCAATTTATAATGATCCATATGTAATTGCCACGGTGATATAAGCTGAAGAACTTTCCAAAAAGACTTAGTGTCAGAGTAATTGGGCCTAACTCACCCATAACCCGTTGTGGATACTGTCAACCAGTGACTTCATAACAAGGCATTTCTGTAACTAAGATGATCCTGAGGTGGTTTTCCAGAGCCAAATGGACATAGGTTTGGGAAAACTGATTTTCATAGGGAATAACAAGTTTTTTCCAGGGAGTTTGTGGTTAATCACAAACTGGATGATTTCGCTTTAAAATTAGTTCATCCACATGGGCAAAAGTTTCATAGAGCCAGTGGTTCCTTCGGCAGTCTGCTCCTTGATGACTTACTGTTTGTAAGACAACCTACCCCGTTTTTAAAACTGGAAAGGTAGAATGGTGGCTGTGGGCCATGACTCAACCAATAACATTATGGCTGACAAGTGGACGTTCGCCTACAAAAGAAGGACTGTCTTCCTAAAAGGAAGAGGTTTATTCCCAGTAAGGACAAGGAAAAGGAAAGCTGTGGGCATCAACAAGATGTGTGTGTCTTTTGGCAGAATAACAGGTCGACGATGGCATTCTGCTTTGTAGGAGGATATTTGATGCTGTAGAAAACAGGGAGAATTCTCCAAGGTTATGAGGCTGAAATGTGTGGCGAAAGTCAGCAAAGAACCTTTCGTCAAATTTCATGGGCAACACTCAAAAGTCAGCCCCGAAGTTTCCAAGAACAAGGTCTTCAAACCAGTCATTAGACATGCACCAAAGTTATGCTGAGTTGGGGCCCCATCCAAAGCTGTGCATTGGTTCATGCAGGCTGCCCCCAGGTGTCAGCAGTTGCTTCAGATGAGCAGGCAGAAATGGCATGTCTGAGGTTCACTTCGGCCATACTCATGGGTGTCTGTGCTGCCAAGAAATAACAGTAACAGAAAAAGCACGTTGCTTTATCAAGAATAACAAAAATTCTGTTTGCAAAGTAAGTCAGATCCTTTTGAAACTAAGGCCAAGTTCAGTAAAATATAAGGGACAGCTTAAGAAAAAAATGAAGTGGTTATTGAAGACTCAGGCTGGGGGAAAGGGAGCTGAACAGACTTTTAAATCTAGG